CCTTTTGTTCTGTTCATTTTGTTATTTTGTTCTTGGTGTGATAGGTTTTCTCAAATGTCCAGAAATCCTATACTATCTATGTATATTTAAAATAAGGCACCAATGAGCTGACTGGATGTTCCATGGGTGGCAGTTGTTGAGACACGGCTTTATAAGTTGAGCAGGAAGAGGTCTCTTATATAGTTTTTTTCCTATTGAGGCTAAGCTGGTCCCCTGCCTTTGTGGAGCTCAGTTGGAGAAGGGGATATCACACTATTTACTGTGTGTATTTTCATCACTTAATCGCTGGTGAGACAATTAATCCTTTTGCCCTGATCAACTATGCCTGATTCCAGGGTATCAGAGAGAAGACTATGGTTGGGATGTAGGAAAATTTCTAAAGATCCAACTGCTTCTCTTACAAACTTTCAACCAACTCCCATTTTCCCTTACCCTCCCTCACCTCTGCCTTCAGATGTACCTGGAAATCTCTGCTATAGACAGTTTTTAGCTTTCTCAGACATGCTACTGAGTCAATTGTAAGTTTGGGTATCTACTTTTTTTTTTAGAAAATAAAAACTTTTTCAGGTTTATAAGATAGTTTCCATTACATATAACACTATGGTCAAGGACTCTATAGCCACAAATGCCCACAGTCACATAAATACATCCAATCAATGCCTTTTCCTGCTAAATGAGGCATCTGATGTCCAGAGGGTCATGTTTTGAGTAGAAGTCATCCTCAATGGGATGGCTTCCCATCAGTGCATTAGGAACTAGCCAAGTAACCTTGCTTGCTAGAGCTGTCTGACTCAGAGGAGAGGAACGGACAGATGGCCTGCTGATCAGAGGTGGCACAAGAACTAGACTTTCTCTAGTGGTTTAAGATATTTCAAAATCTCAGAATTCAGATTTGGCTTCTACAGCATATTTGGGGGAGTTCCAACTTTGGGATGAAAAAGGAAACCAATTTAGTGGTAAGAAATAGAAGACTGCTTAAGAGGGGTCCTAACTGCCCCCTTCCTGCAGGAGTGAGGAGAGGAAGGCCCCAAGCTCACCAGCCCTTGGTTTAGACCATCGCTCTCCCAGGAAGAGGGAGAGAGTGGCTCCGCCCCTCGACTCCTCTCTCCCATGGTTCAGTGGCACTGACACCCATTCAAGGTAGTGAACATCTAGAAGTTCCATATGCTGCAGCTGGAGTTTGCCAATCAGATTCTGCTTGGAGCTTTAATGTGAACAAGTTTGTGTAAACTGCAAACAAGTCGTGGCACAAGTCTCCTGGGACACTAGCTTTGCTCCCCCAACTTGCAGAGCAGAAGACAGGAATACCCCAAACCAAATAAAAGTCCAAATAGGCATCTAAATCTGGAGCATTCATTCATTCTCCTGGACACCACCAGCTGCCCCAGGGTGATGCTAAGGCACAGTCAGTTTTACATTAGAAAGTAAGGCCACCTCTTAAACCCAGGACACAGCTGGCTATCTCCTTCTATCTTCCAAAAGTGTACTGACCCCATCACTTTGCTGTTGTCTCCTGTCCTCTTCTCTTTCTTTTTGGGTTTGTGCCACTTTTAGCTGTTTTTTTTTTTTTTTTTCTTCTTCTGGCGGTTTAATGGAGTTTGAGGAACAGAGACAAATGTATATATTCGATCCATCCGTATGTCTTACTTGAACTCTGGTAACTTCTCCTTTTCTCTTAATAATAGGTAATGAGGTCAAGGACAATCCTAAAGGCTGGCTTGGTAAGTGGAGCCACCTCCATTGCCCCCTATTCTTTGATATGCACAACTGATGAATTAGTAGTACCTGGCTCTTCCAAGGAAACTTTAACTCATCTCCACCTCCAAGAGACTGCTACCTCTTCCTCCCTCTAAGGAAATTCTGTACTTCTGCTGTTGGAAATTTTTACATCTCAGAAATACAGGTCTACCTCATTCTTAAAAGGGCAGTACTATAATAAATTAATAAATTAACCAGTTCCTCCATCAATGGACATTTAGATTATTTTCAGGAATTGCTATTATAACAAGGTGGCAATGAATATTCTTTATAGTCATCTAGGATTACATCTGGTGGTATATCTGTGGGTTAAATTATTAAAGGTAGAATTACTGGGTCAGATAGTCTATGGATTTTAAATTTCTCACTGATTTTAATACTTCCTATTCTAACTTCATACAGATGATTATAACCAAAGAAATGCACTGGAAATCTGGCTAAAGAACAACCACACAAAACTTCACAATTTACAACCTCAGTGTTACCTGACACTGACATTACCTAAATGTCAAAATGAGGAACAGCCTGCATTCTTACAGGAAAATGGGAATGTTTTTGACAATTTCCTCCTCTCAGTGTGTACCCTAAGAGCTTATGTTTCACACACCATTACTACTATCATATTTACTGGGATATCATCATCATTCTTGCCAGAAAGAAAACTGCATTATCCAAGTTTCCTTTACAATGAATGATAAGGTACTACAGCCTCGGGGAGTTGACAGTGACAATTAAAAATGTTTATCTGTAGTTTTTAATCTATAGGATTTTGTTCCCCTGAATGGGCCCAAATTTATAGCATTCTTATGATGGTTCAAAGTATATCAAATTTTCTTTTCTGATGGTCACATTTGATTTGATTAGTGATGCTTATAATTGTTACACAGGGCTCCAGGGTATTTATGAAAAGCCTAATCCTGAAACACATCTTTATCTGTTGAGGACAATTTTTTCAGGTTGTGAAATCAAAGATGGATGAGGAAAATTGGTTTTAGAAATACTGAACCTCCAATAAATAGGAAATAAAGTATATTTCCCAGGGAGATATTTTAAGATACCTAAATATAAATTAAATTTTATTCATATGAAAAATAATACAACTGTATGACATTGTTTTCTGTTGTTCACATGATCCATGAGGGTAGGGTGAAAACTGGTCCTGGACCTGGCAGACAGCTTAGTAGAATGTATAACCAGAAGCTTGTCCAGACACCAGAATCTCCTTTGGCAATTCACCATGAATCAGCATTAGATGCCAATTAATATAGGGCATTCATAGAAAATACTATGGGTTCTGTCTAAGGGAATGGTTGATGTCATTCTTCATTGTCTACTAGGCATTTTTAAAGCTATAAAAATAGTAAAATATGTATTTTTTATTTGTTGCAGGCTAACTGATTAATGTACAATGTTCCTTTAGCAATAACGAGTCATCTCGTTCTTCCTGGATTTGAGTGGGAAGAGACCAATACAACCTTGAGTTGGATGCACCAGCAGGAGCCGTTTTTAAGAGTATATGCCACGGGACTTTCCTGGTGGTGCAGTGGTTAAGAATCCATCTGCTAATGCAGGGGACAGGGGTTCGAGCCCTGGTCCAGGAAGATCTCACATGCCGCGGAGCAACTAAGCCTGTGCGCCACAACTTTTGAGTCTGCGCTCTAGAGCCTGTGAGCCACAACTACTGAGCCCGTGTGCCACAACTACTGAAGCATGTGCACCTAGAGCCTGTGCTCCACAAGAGAAGCCACCACAATGAGAAGCCCACGCACCACAATGAAGAGTAGCCCCCTCTAGCCGCAACTAGAGAAAGCCCGTGCGCAGCAACGAAGACCCAACTCAGCCAAAAATCAATAAAAAAAAAAAAAACAAGTACCTGCCAGCATTCAAATTGATCATGGCTATGTAGGTATAACTACACAACTATAACAATGACAACTGCTAAGAACATAGCAACCTAAAAATATCTTGGGACATTATGTTTGGTAAAATACTGCATTAGCCTCTGTTATAACCATCAAAATATACTTACACAAGAACAAGTTACTTAAAAAAATATTAATAGTTGAGGGGTTAGTGTATCCGATTCTCTTGGCTCACCTGTCTCCCAGATGTTGGCCTTTGATGGGCCCCAGCTGAGGTGGCAACCAGCTTCATGGAAGCACAACTCATTGGCCTGCACTTCATGCATGCCCTTGCTGTGTGCCTCTTACCCTGACAATGGATTTTCTTGTTGCCAATGAGATGTGAGATACAGTGGGACCTGCCCACACATAAATAACCCAGGACAATGGTGGGTGCTAGCCATCTAAGGGGAGACTTTTTACACAATCCTGGGAGATAGGAGCCGGTAGATAATCTCCTGTCTTCCTGCCTCTGGACAAACTGCTCCAAGAGACAGTAGTTCAAACAGCTTTTAAAAGACCTTCTTTTGAGAGCAGGCAATCTTGACACCAAGCAGCGGCCAGTTAGGAGAAATGGTCAGCCTGGTAATGCACCACCTCATACTTGATTCTCCTCCTTCCCTGCCTCCCTCCTCTTTTCTATCACTCCTGAGTCCCTGACATTGTATTTCCTTATAAAGTATTAGATTCTGCCTCAACTTTATTTTCTAGAGAACCTAGGATACAATCAGTCAGAGTGATGGAAGAATCTGTCTGTGGAAGAATTTTTTTATTTTCAGTGTCACTGATAGTCTTATTTCTACAATAAACTTTGTAAGAATCATAAATCTTGCTCTCATTTAAAATTTAACTATTTCATTTGTCCTTCCATCAAACATGCTGGCCATCTAGCAACCTGATAATCTGCAGGTTGACAAGAGACCTGAAATTCACTAAATCATGCTAAGCCTCAAGCTTCAGGGCACATGCAACTCCTATTTGCTCTGCAAAAAGCCAGAGGATCCAAGATGTTAGGACCCCAAATCACTTTTCCTTAGGCTTTGTGACTTTGGGCTAGTTTTCGGTATTTGATCTTTTCTCTCTTGAAAGTATTTGATCTTTTTCTCTTCTGAACTCAGGACAGTTAACACTGACCACCATGTCAGCCATGGGTCAAGTTTTAGCAGACTTAGAGATATTAGAGAGCAGAAAAGTAAAATACAGAACTGAAATATATAGAAACACACTTTAAATCAATGTATACATTGAGCATTTACAGGGATTATATATGACTTTTAAAATCAAAAGGAAACAAATGCTATTTTTAAAAAATAAACGAAAGAGATTATAACTGACTCTTACCAGGTCCCAGTTCCCAGTGGCCCAGTGACAGCAAGGGTGCCCATTGCAGGGCGCAATGGATGTGGGCCTTTTCGTCCAGTCACACAGGCCTCCTGGACAAGTCACTCCTCTCTTCTGAATTCCGCCTCCACATGACCTGGAACACTGGTCCACAACAGGGACAAAGTCAGGTAAAAATCACATGGTGTCATTTTCAGAGATAAAGGGTAGGGACGTGTCTTTTTTCATTGTATCTTCAGTGCCTGACACTGCACCTGGCAGATGTGAATATTCAGTAGATGCTGAATAAATGTTTACCTTATTTAGAAAAAATACTTGACAGTTCATCTCTAGTTCCACACCCTGTATGTCAACCCATTCCCCCCTAATTACTTAGTAAGAGGGTTCTTTTTTCCTTTTTCAGTTGGGAAAAAAAAAATGACTGTTTCAGGTAAGTCTGGAACAAGCATTTTTTTTTCTGTGACATACTATTAAGTTACAAAGATATACATGTATATAGTATAAGATATAACCTATCTTTAGAGCAGAAATTCCCATGATTACTGAACAAATATTCATAATTACTGACTATTTCAAGTGGGGGTTAAAAAATCAGTTTGGTAATCACTGGTTCAGCATTACTTGAGATAAGGCCTAGCTTATTGCAGTACATCACAAAGTTGGTAGCAACAGTTAGGCCCAGCTATATTAACTCCAAATCTAGGTAGCTTCATCTAATCACCAAAACATGTTCCTAGTGTCTGTCTGAATTCACAATCATGTGTATTTAGATGTTTTTCATCAAAGTATGTCAGAATAAAGAATTTAGATTGCCAAAACAGCTATTATTAATTTTTAAATAAAGAACTCAAGCAAAGACAGAAAAACTCAATAGAATTATATTTTCTTTAAATGCTTTTACTATTATTTTTGCTGTGTACACTGTTATTAAGAATATGAGTATCTCTACTGGAATCTGGAACATTTGTGCCAGGTTCCTTACAATGACCACTCTGTCATTTCAAATGACAAAGGTGAAACAAGCCCCAGGACTCAGCCCTTCCACCAGCAGGTGAGCTCCAGACCCGGACCCCACAGGGCCCACTGTCACCTGCACTGGAACCTTGCCCCACCCACCAGTGGGTCAACAATAGCTCCAAGATCACCAGGCCATGCAGCTAGCCATGTTATGAGCTGGCCCTTCCCATCAGCATGCCAGCAGCCGTCAGATGAGGCAGGGCCTAAGAGTCAACCAGATCAGGAAAAAGCCCACCTACCAGAGCTCCTACAGTAGTCAGTCCCACCACAATAGAAGGGCCCATGCAGCCCACATAGGGGCACCCCTAGAGCACACAGCTCTAGTGACCAGAGGTGAGTGTGCTGTTGCCTCACTGGACATATCGTACATGAGGCCACTTCTGTAAGACTGGGAAACGTAACCAACCTACCTAATACATAGAAATAAACACAGAGAATTAGGCAAAATGAGGAATCAGAGGAATATGTTCCAAATTAAGGAACAAAACAAAATCTCAGAAAAAGAACTAAATGAAGTGGAGGTAAGCAATCTACCTCATAAAGAGTTCAAGGTAAAGATCATAAAAATGCTCGACAAACTCAGGAGAAGAATAAATGAATACAGTTAGAATTTCAACAAAGAGTTAGAAAATATAAAGAAGGACAAGACAGAGGTAAAGAATACAATAACTGAGATATAAAATACATTAGAAAGAATCAACAGTAGATTAGATGATACAAAGGAACATATCAGTGAACTGGAAGAGGAGTGGAAATAACCCAAGCTGAACAGAAAAAGGAAAGAATTTTTTAAAATGAGGATAGTTTAAGAGACCTCTGAGAAATGCAAATCAAAACTACAATGAGGTATCACCTCACACCAGTCAGAATGGCCATCATCAAAAAATCTACAAACAGTAAATGCTTGAGAGGATGTGCAGAAAAGGGAACCCTCTTGCACTGTTGGTGGGAATGTAAATTGATAAAGCCACTATGGAGAACAGTATGGAAGTTCTTTAAAAAAGTAAAAATCGAACTATCATATGACCCAGCAATCCCACTACTGGGCATATACCCTGAGAAAACCATAATTCAAAAAGAGTCATGTACCACAATGTTCCTTGCAGCTCTCTTTACAGTAGCTAGGATATGGAAGCAATCTAAGAGTCCATTGATAGATGAATGGATAAAGAAGATGTGGCACATATATACAATGGAATATCATTCAGCCATAAAAAGAAACAAAATTGAGTTATTTGTAGTGAGGTGGATGGAGCTAGAGTCTGTCATACAGAGTGAAGTAAGTCAGAAAGAGAGAAACAAATACCATATGCTAACACATATATATGGAATCTAAAAAAAAAAAATGGTTCTAAAGAACCTAGGGGCAGGACAGGAATAAAGATGCAGACATAGAGAATGGACTTGAGGACACGTGGAGGGAGAAGGGTAAGCTGGGATGATGTGAGAGAGTGGCATGGACTTATAACTACTACTAGATATAAAATAGATAGCTAGTGGGAAGCAGCTGCATAGCACAGGGAGATCAGCTTGGTGCTTTGTGACCACCAAGAGGGGTGGGATAGGAAGGGTGGGAGGGAGAAACAAGAGGGAGGAGATATGGGGATATATGTATATGTATAGTTGATTCACTTTGTTATACAGCAGAAACTAACACATCATTGTAAAGCAATTATACTCCAATAAAGAAGTTAAATAAAAAAAGAAAATTATAGACCAATATCACTGATCAACATAGATGCAAAATATCCCCCCAAAAATTAGAAAAAAAAATCTAATGATACATTAAAAGGATCATACACCATGATCAAGTGGGATTTATCCGAGGGATAAAAGGATTGTTTTTGATTCAAAATCAATCAATGTGATACACCACATTAACAAACTGAATAAAAATAATCATGATCACATCAATAGATGCAGAAAAAGCTTTTCACAAAATTCAACACCCATTTATAATAAAAACTGTCAACAAAGTGGGTACAGGGAACATACCTCAACATAATAAAGGCTGTATATGACAAACCTATAGTGAACATCATACTCAACAGTAAAAAGCTGTAACCATTTCCCCTAAGATCAGAAATAAGACAAGGATGCCCACTCTTGTCACTTTTATTCAACATAGTATTGGAAGTCCTAGCCACAACAATCAGACAAGAAAATAAGAGGAATCCATATTTGAAAGGAAGACGTAAAACTGTCACTGTTTGCAGATGACATGATACTATACATAGAAAATCCTAAAGATGCCACCAAAAACCTACCAGAGCTCATCAATGAATCTGATAAAGCTGCAGGATATAAAATAAATATACAGAAATCTGTTGCATTTCTGTAACTAAAAATGAACTAGCAGGAAGAGAAATTAAGGAACAATCCAATTTACAACTATATGAAAAAGAATAAAATACTAAGGAATAAATCTAACCAAGGAGGTAAAAGACTTGTACTTGGAAAACTATAAGACACTGATGAAAGGAACTGAAGATGACACAAACAACTGGAAAGATACACTGTGCTCATGGGTTGGAAGAATTAATATAGTTAAAATGACTATACTACCCAGGGAAATCTACAGATTCAGTGCAATCCCTATCAAAATACCAATGACATTTTTCACAGAACTAGGACAAATAATTCTTAAATTTGTATGGAAACACAAAAGACCCTGAATAGGCAAAACAATCCTGAGAAAGAAGAAAGGTGGAGGTGTCACATGCCCTGATTTCCAACTATACTACAAGGCTATGGTAATCAAAACAGTATGGTACTGGTACAAAAACAGACACATAGTTCTATGTAACAGGATAGAGAGTCCAGAAATAAACCCATACTTATATGGTCAACTAATCTATGAAAATGGTGGCAAGAATATACAATGGGGACTAGACAGCCTCTTCAATAAAGGTGTTGGAAAAACTGGACTACTTTTTCACACCATATACAAAAATAAACTCAAATGGATTAAACTTTAAAATAAAGACTATTACAAGAGACAAAGAAGGACACTACATAATGATCAAGGGATCGATCCAAGAAGAAGATATAACAATTGTAAATATTTATGCACCCAACATAGGAGCACCTCAATACATAAGGCAAAAACTAGCAGCCATAAAAGGGGAAATCGACAGTAACACATTCATAGTAGGGGACTTCAACACCCCACTTTCACCAATGGACAGATCATCCAAAATGAAAATAAATAAGGAAACACAAGCTTTAAATGATACATTAAACAGGATGGACTTAATTGATATTTATAGGACACTCCATCCAAAAACAACAGAATACACATTTTTCTCAAGTGCTCATGGAACATTCTCCAGGATAGATCATATCTTGGGTCACAAATCAAGCCTTGGTAAATTTAAGAAAATTGAAATTGTATCAAGTATCTTTTCCGACCACAACGCTATGAGACTAGATATCAATTACAGGAAAAGATCTGTAAAAAATACAAACACATGGAGGCTAAACAATATATTACTTAATAATGAAGTGATCACTGAAGAAATCAAAGAGGAAATCAAAAAATACCTAGAAACAAATGACAATGGAGACACGATGACACAAAATCTATGGGATGCAGCGAAAGCAGTTCTAAGAGGGAAGTTTATAGCAATACAATCCTACCTTAAGAAACAGGAAACATCTCGAAAAAACAACCTAACCTTGCACCTCAAGCAATTAGAGAAAGAAGAACAAAAAAACCCCAAAGTTAGCAGAAGGAAAGAAATCATAAAAATCCGATCAGAAATAAATGAAAACGAAATGAAGGAAACGATAGCAAAGATCAATAAAACTAAAAGCTGGTTCTTTGAGAAGATAAACAAAATAGATAAACCATTAGCCAGACTCATCAAAAAAAAAAAGGGAGAAGACTCAAATCAACAGAGTTAGAAATGAAAAAGGAGAAGTAACAACTGACACTGCAGAAATACAAAAGATCATGAGAGATTACTACAAGCAACTATATGCCAATAAAATGGACAACCTGGAAGAAGTGGACAAATTCTTAGAAATGTACAACCTGCCAAGATGGAATTAGAAAGAAATGAAAATATGAACAGACCAATCACAAGCACTGAAATTGAAACCGTGATTAAAAATCTTCCAACAAA